CCTAACGCCCTGGCCAAAAACTGTAGAGAAGGGTTTTTCCTTGAAAATGTCCCCGAACATTAAGTTGATACAATGAGCCGCACATGGAGTCCAATAGACATTCTTGTACGCTCCTTCAATCATGCCACCCGCTTTCACATTTTCACTTGCATTATCAGTGACCACTTGAACAACTTTGCTTGGGCCAATCTTTTCGATGGTGTTCTGAATCAAGGTGAACATTTTGATGTGGTCAGTGGATGAGTCGCTAGCATCAATGGACTCAAGAAACAAACTTCCCTGGGGAGAATTCACCAACACATTAATAATCATTTCCCCCGTTCTTGCCGTCCACTTATCCATCATAATGGAGCAGCCATACTTGTTCCACACAACTTTATGCTCCTCAACAATTTTATAATCTCCTCCACTTCCTTATTTGGATAAGGACCTCTTATTTCATGATAAGTGGGAGGCTTCATTCCAGGTCTGTATTGACTAACGGCCTCAATAAAGTCTCCAAAAGTGTCATAGTTGACACAATTGAAGGGGAGCCCAGCATCATAGACCCATCGTGCAAAAGCTCTAACTGCACGATCCCTCAAAATGTCTTTAGCAATTTTTTGTACATCTTTTCCACCGCTCTTTGCTTCCGGCTTCTTTGGGAAATAGCAATCTATAGGACCTTTAGTCGATGATCCATNCGTTGGGAAATAGCAATCCATAGGACCTTTAGTCGATGATCCATGGCTTGACCCATCTCTTCCCCGTTTTGTTGGAAGTGACAATTCTTCAATATCATCATCATCATCATCAAGATTTGTCACCATTGGTTGATGACTCATTTGATTTTTTTGCTCCTTCTTCTTCTCAACAAAATTCTTTATTTCTTCCCTCACCTTCGGCGAACATTTCAGACAACTTGTGACATTTCTATCGCCACCAATAAGATGGTATTTAAAGCGATAAATTCCGCCCGTTGTCGTTTTGTTACAAAACTTGCATACAACATTTGTATTCTTCTCATTAACTCTATCACCATATTGCCAAGCTGGGTCTTTCTCTTTAGAACTTTGAGACATTTTGAAATCCCTATTAAGATATAAGAAAATACATAATCAAATAAACTGAAAATACATATAATATATATAAATAATAATGAATTTTCTAAAATGAAATACATATAAAATTAATCAAATAAATTGAAAATATAACATATATATATAATTAATTTTATATGCTGAAATATAATAGTAATAATAACATATATATAATTAATTTTATATGCTGAAATATAATAATAAAATGTAATACATATAATAATTAAATTTATATGCGGAAATATACACAAATGAAAAGGAAAAAGAAAGAAAAAAATGGTTACTCTATTCTGGACTGGAGAAACCGAGAAAGAAAGAAGAAGAAGAAGAAAGAAAAAAAAACGAGAAAAACTGAAGAACAGAAGAAGAAATTACCTGGGTCCTGGACTGGTCGAGTCGCGAGCGAGAAAGAAGAATGGGTCGAGCTCGAGCGAGAGAGAAAGGGTCAGCAATGGCGTCTCTGTTTTCTCGATTTTAGCTTCAGCAGGTAAAAAACCGTAGGTTTTGTGACTCTCTATTTTGTCGAAGGGGAAGGAGTTTTTTGTCGATTTAGGGTTTGTTTTGTCTAATAGAATAACATACCCAAAGTTTTTTTTTTTAAAAAAAGACCCCCCTGCGCTTTTTGCACAGAAGCGATCGCTTCATCGCTTTCTTCGCTTCCTCGCTTTTCCAAGTGAAGCGCGCGCTTCCTCAGATCGAGTAGCCTCAGGGAGCGGGAAGCGACAGTGGGTCGCGTCGCTTCGCGCTTAAAGCGACGAAGCACATGCTTTTCTAAACACTGATTTAGGCACTGTGAAGATGTGCAAGAATGTGTAGTGGATCGATCTTTAGGAAAACCTCTTTCGATTATTCTCCTAACTAGGTTTAATCAATGATTCAACTAGCCTCTTTCGGCTACTTAGAAGAATCTATGAATTCAACCAACAAAATGATGCAAAAACATCACAAGTTATGCCTCTCTATATTACATGAACTAGTGAATATAGATGCAACAATTTAAACTTCGAAAACGATTCAAATACATAAAACTAGAGATAATCCACAAACAATCATCAATACACCAAATCCGTCAAACCCCAAAAGGAATTACTCCATAGACATGGAGAAATTCATCACAAATATAATTAAAGTATAGGAAAACATAGATTCAATCTAAACCCGGATCTTGAGTGAGGAAGGAATGATGGAATCCTTATGCTTATGTTATTCCTACTCCTCCTTACCTTCCTTAGATCTAAAATCTGTCCAAAGTCTCGAAAATGGTATTTTCTGGTGTATTTAAGCCGTCCCAAAATAATCCCGGACGAAACTACCCTTTTTTAGCCGAAATAGGAAGTCACTCTAACATTTTTGTGCTATCGCGCCGCCCCATGCGGTGCGCATTAGGAAATTCCAAAGCGTTTGAAATTATTTCTGGCCACTTTGTGCACATGCCCCGCGGGGTAGTAGTGCAATTTTCTTAGAGTGAATTCGTTTTCTCATTTTTTTGACATCCAGACTTGGTCTTCGACCCCCGGACGTGATCCCGGCTTAATTGCTTGGGCTTCTACTCAAACTTCAAAGCTCCAAATAGCTCGAATTAACTCCACAGCATCTACATAACTCGGAATCACTCCTACAAGGCATAAAACACACAATAAGTGCAAAAACACTATCAATTAAAGCTCAACACAAGTAAAGTGCAGTGAATTAGAGTGCAATAAGCGACTAAAACACGGGATTATAGTCTACCATCAGTGGTCTAGGCCTTGTGGTCAATGAAGTGGGAGGTGAGCAGAGGCAAAAAATACTAGGTCATTTCTTCCCATCTGCCTAAGCCGTGGCAGAGTTATCCGGTATCTGTGCTGGAGAGTGGTAGCAAGTACCCAGTGGAATAGTTGAGGTGCGCGCAAGCTGGCTAGGACACCACCATCCTAACAAAAAAAGTATATCGTTGTTTGGTGAAGTAGTCTGTCGAGATGTGATGTGCTGGTAGCAAGTCATTCTTTTTAGAATGTCGAGCAATTAAGATTTGAGTAAAATCAGCTTTGCCTTTCTGAGCATTTAGCCCCTTAAACCTGCTGGTTAAGCTTAACGTGATATTTTGTAGTTAATTGAATCAATCAATCAACCAAGCCTCAATCCTAGGTAAATAGAGATTGACTATATGAGTTCTTTACAAATCAATTCAATCAACCTTTTAAAAAAGCACACCATTGCAATACTATGTCTTTTGCCTTTTATATTCATGTAAGTTCTTTATAGATGGTAAAAAAGAAAGAAGAAATTTCATAAGCTCACACTAGCAGCAATATAATGGAAGGGTTGGGTGCCAACTAATCATGTTATGAACACTTTAATGATAATAGGATGAGTTGCAAATTATTGGCAGTTTAATTCAAGGAAGCAAATGGGTGTCGTATGCATGTTTCTTATAATCAGAAATATGATTCTTTTCGTGTTAAGAATTTCTGAATATTCTTGTTTAGTCACTTTTATTGAATTATGTGACCTCCTTAGGTAAAAGATTAAGTTGTTAGAGAGAGGACACATTTATTTATTTATTAAATTGTTTTAGATATGCAACATGCCTCCTCACCTCCTTACGTGTGCGTTTGATTCTTTTCTTTGGGCCAAGCATGTGAAAATATTATATTGATTGGTAGTGGTGAAACTCGAATTTAAGATCTTTATGTGCTCTTATATCATGTTGAATTGTGTGACCATCACGTAAATAGCATAGTTGTTAGATAGGGTTTATTTATTTAGGTCTGCAGCAATGATGAAACGAAACGGATGTTAAGTTGTTCTTTTGCATTCTAGAGTGCTATTTTAACTTTGCCTACTAGTCCTCTATCTTCCTGAAGGTTCTTCATCAGGGAAACTAGATTTATTTATGTCCAGGATCAAACTTAACAAGCTCGTTCGGAATTTTCTCTATTTACTAGGTAGTGAAGTTGAACCTTCATGAACTTCTACATGATGTTAAGTTACTTCCCACATCTTTCCTGCTTATTTAGGGGCTGATGTTGTTGGAAAGATAAAGTTCAAATAGAATAGAACACGTCTGAATGATTGACAGGGGAGCAAGCATGTCGCGGTACATCAATCATAAAAGAGTTTAAAAAAAAGAAAAGATACGGTTGGTAAAAGTAAGAAATGCTACAGACCAATAAAAAATGCTACAGGGCTATCACATATAAGCACAGAGCTGTAGTGGAGCTCAGTTAATAAACCTTTTGTAAACTGCAAACTATCCAATTCTGTGGCTAGGCACCCTTGTGATTGCACGTCATTTTTTTTAATGTGAAGTAAAAAGTGCATGGATAATTCATTTGTTCGTGACAGGGGAATAGGAACTTCAAAAGCTTTAAACAGACGGTCCAAAGATTGGAAGAGGCTTCTAGTTCTTGCAAGGGACCAGAGAGAGTTCAGTTGATGAAAAGGTGGTTAGCTGCACTTAAGGCAATTGATAACATGTTTGAGGTTTCTGTTGAAGATAAAGAGAAGAACAACGAGCAGCAGCATTCTTCTGAGGAACCAAGAAAACAATCACTGGTGAGTAGATTGATCTTGAGTGCTCTCCGTCTGTTATCTTTCTCCTATTACCATGAAACAGGATTGAGTTTGCTCCATGTTGACAAAATTTCTCCATTTTTGTCTTTTAATGGTATATAAGAAAAAAAATCTTAGTGAACTAGTTTTTCTTCTTTTAAGGTTTCCATGTCTTAGACGCCAGGCAGTTCAGATGCTTTTTTCACCACTTAGATTTTCAGATGAGGTTAAAGATAATGTTCTAACAGGTTGACTTAATTGATTTTCATTGCCGTTGTTTCATCTTAGGGAATTATCTTTTGAAGGGTTGATCTTAATGTCTGTTCTTCTCCTGCATCCTTGACATAAAACTTTACATTCGTGATATTTTGTTTCATACAGATTGACTTAGACCATGTTTACAATTTTATAGGTTCTCTATTATGATTCTGAGATGGGTGGTGAGCCACTGAACTTTCGTGATGTCTTTCTTTACAGTAAAGCTTTGGAGGGCATATCAATTTGTATGGTATGTAACATTTCCAAGTCCTGCTTGCTTGGATAAAGAAGCTGCAGTAATTTTTGGCTTCTCTTGTAACTCTTGTTCCTGTTTCACTTTGGCTCAATTTTGATCTTCATGACTGCTTTGATCTTTTCAAAAAGTCTTACAGCTATTGTTTTATTTGAGTAAAGACATCTATGGGGAATGCCTTATTTGAACAATATTTATATAAAAAGTTATATTTGGATGATGATACCTCTGGAGAATAGTTAGTGCTTTATAGTTAGTCCATCAGGTTGTGTAATATCTTTTGGTCGTGGACTTTTAGCATGTACCTTGCTTGTCGCGTGGATTTCAAATTGCTGATCGCCTAGGTTAACTCTTTTTTGTGATTCAGATTCTTGAAACGCCAAATGAAGAGGAAATCTCTCTCCTCCTTGAATTATTTGGGTGAGTTTATGTGATTTTGATGGCATGTATCTGATTTTGATAACATATATGTAAACTGTAGTCCAGTACGTGGTATGTGGACAGTAGGTACAGTTATTGACAGAAACTTTACTGTATTTGGTTGCGTGCAGACTCTGTCTCACTGGAGGAAAAGCGGTTCACAATGCAATAGTCGGCAGCATCCAGGATCTGGCAAAAGCTTTCTCAAGCTACAAAGATGAAGTATTGGTAAGGAAAAGTCTTTCTATTTTCTATAAGCATATGCCATAATTGATAAGCTCTTGATTTTGGTGGCTCTCCTCATTGTGTTGTATTATCATGACAATCAATGACGTATGGTCCTTCATATCTGTTTAATAATTTTTAGTTGAATCTGTGTTATGCTGAAGTTCAAAATTGGTGTGAAGTTCAATTGCGGTAAATCATCTACCAGATATTTCTTTAATATCTTCTGTTGGTTTGGTTAACTAACCGGGATCTCCAGTTAATTTGAATACTATTTTATCCTTAAAAAGCATTCTGTATTTTATATCTTAACAATAGAATCACTCTAAAAAGCACCTCAACAAGCTTTAGTTCCAGATCACCAGATCTCTCATTGCAATATTGAGAGAGAAAAATTCTGTTTCCCTGACACATATTGTGAACTTATGTTCTTCATGGGCCACTAGATTTGTAGCGTAGATTTACCGAAATCCTTTCCCAACTATGAGTCGACTACACTACTACTGAAATTAGCAGTTACTCTAGGAAGTTTGGTTTCCTGAAGTCTGTTACCTTTGGATGCGTAATTTACTTCTATTTTCTCCTTCATGAATGTTTAGCTCTATTCCATCAAGATAAATGAAAGAGTTTTGTTAAAAGGGAATATTTATGAGCTTGTGAATTGACAGGGGCTTTTCCAATGATTATTCCATTTCTCTTTTGAAGTAAGAACGAATAAACTTTATTGATTCTGTTGCATAACTACATAAATAAATAAATGTATCCCCTCTCTATCAGCTTAAGCTCTTAAACGAGGTAGGCAATAAGTTAAATATGGTATCAGAGTAGGTAGATCTCCTTGGTTCAAGTTTCATTGCCACACCTTTGAAAAAACATTCACATGTTTTTCTCAAGAAAAAGAGTCAGGCCTGCACATGAAGACTTTTAGATAAAGCATGAGTGAATTATAAAGCTGCTATAGACAGTGAGTCTCATTTGAGATATTGATGCAACAAAAAGCACAAGGCTTCTAATTAACGCGAAAATGCATGAGCATAGCCTTCAGATGGAAGTTATGGAGGTCATTCAGATAGTCATAACACAGCTTGCAACTCAAAACACGTATCTTATTTTGTATTAGCTAAGTAAATTGTCAGGCTAATTGTTTCCTGCTACATTCGCTGCAGCAGCTTTTGTTCTGATCCCGTGAATCAAAGTTAACTGCATGCGGAGACTTAGAGTGTCATGAGACTTCGTTATACTTTCTTTTGCTTTCTGTTTGTGCTCAGGTGAAGATGTTTTCATGTGATTTTAAGTCTTGAACACTCTGTGCTGCATTTTTCAAAGAATTGATGCAGCTCTTGCTCCAACCCCCTTCCATTTGCCTGAAGCAATTTTCTCTCATGCTATTTAACACTTGCATTTGCCTAACATTAGTCTCCACATCCACCTAGATTTTAGGTAATTTTCCTCATTGATATTGTCCCTCAGTATCTATTTATCAAAGAAACAAACATCAAAATGTACACCTATTATCATGACTTCGTAGCCTATGCAACCATTCTATCCATTGACAGGTAAAACGTGAGGAGCTATTGCAGTTTGCAGAAAGTGCCATCACAGGGTTGAAAATTAACGCAGATCTTGGAAGGTATTACTTCTTATAACACCTGAAATTCTTTGACATATGTGTATGAATGAACCCCCTGCGTGGAGCCAAATTAATTTGAAGTGGAATTTCTCCCTTGTTTTTAGAGCTTTGGCTGATTGAACTTAGTTCTTTAGCCGATGAGTAACTGCATCTTATTATTTTTATGATTAATATGCGCGCAAGCTGGCTCGGACACCACTATCATCCAAAAAAAAGTCGAGAGATGGGAAAGCTCCTACTAACTAATTTCTTTAGGATGGGAAGAAGATGATAATGTATTTAAACATGACGGTGTCTCATTTCCTTTCGATTCCTTAAGATTCCTTCGGTGTAAATGAAATGATAGTTGTAGCGCTATCAAGAGTGAAAAATGGAACATACAATTTTAAAAGGCATTTCTTTTTTGTGTTTTATTTTTTGCCGTGACAGGAAATTTCAGGTGTTCTTTTATTAAGATACATCATTCAGAGGTAGTCAAACCCTTGAAACATGACCAGGGAATCTTTTGAGGCTTGTGTGATCTTAAATTTGTTTATGATCCTATTCTGTCCTGGACAATGCCATATATGTAAAAGTCCAGCTCATTTCAATAACCTTTTTACCAAGCAAAGAATTCGTTTTGACCATTTTTAACCAATTTGATTGGTGATTAATGATTGTAAAATACAGGTAATAAGTTAGATATCCTGCCATTTTAGAAACTTTTTATTGTTACATAGGGGGAGGGAATGCTACTTGTGATGTTCGAACCTTCCACCTACTTTTGAAGGTGAAGGAGCTTACAAGTGAGCTACCTCTCAACCCCTTGATATTGTGCCATTGATCTCTGCTTTCGGCCTCGATTTTTAGTTTTTTTGGTTGTGATAATTGCTTTCCACTTGCAGAATTGATGCTGAAGTCTCCACATTGAATAAACAACTTGAAGAAATAAAAACAGTAAAGGATGCAAGTGAGGGTCATGAAACAATTTCCAAGGAGACTGCTGCTTCAATAGAGGTGAACCTGATCGGTGTTCTGTTATTCCCTTTTTACTCCACCCGCCCTATTTTGTCATACACAATCAATCTGGCACGGGGTTTAAGAAGTTAATTCAAACGCATGTTATGTTAGCAGTTGAATAAAGAAACTATTTGTTGGTTAAAGTTGGATTGACCAAGTAATTACACATCTTGATTTAACCTTATATTGTTAAATGAGTTTAGATGAAAGTTTTATGAAATATTGTTACTTGATGAAGTGTGTCAAAACACTTTGAGATGTCCCAGAATGGAATATTGTCTGGGAAGGAGTTGTTATATGTATGTAAGTATTTGATAAAATATAATTGGTTTATTTATAAAGTGGAAATGCGCTCTATATAGGAGGAAAGCAATGGAATTATCAGGCATTCCTCTACATTCACTTCCAATTCACAAATCTGATCACTCGTTCAGAATTTTCAAATGAGGTCTGACCCTGTGTAATAAGATGGTAACATATGTTTCACATCAGTGAAGAAGCATACTTCACCCTACTGGCTTGGCGAGTTATTTTCTTTCTGTAGGCCTTATCTAGAAGGAGAATTTTACATTGCCTTTTTTTCATTGTAGTGCTTTGTTATGCAAGTGAGGAGTTCTACATGAGGTTACTGCATGAGATTCATTTCCATTGCATAAGCAATGGATTATAATAAGTGGTAAATGAGTGTGTATTGACTTACCACAAACAGTATTACTCAGAGCCCTGTGATTTTATGAGTTTTTGCTTATTTAAGATGGATGTTGTGTTAGGGGCTTTCATTAATCAAGAACATTATAAGAGACTAAAATGAATGAAATTTTCCTAGCACTGCATGTGTTAGGAAAACCTACTTATCTTTTATAATTAGAAATTTATGACATAGTTGATTGTGCCATTGTTATTTTTCCAATAGGCTCTGAAAGCGGCACTCGCACATATTAGAGTCTGCTCCAGATTAGAAGGGCTTCTACTGAAGAAAAAAACTCTTAAATATGGGGACTCTCCAGAAGTTCATTCTCAAAAGGTATATTACCCCTTTAATCTGATTATGTTTTTGTTTTCTCTAACAAAAGGCCTGGTTCTCTCTGCTTGGAAGTGCATCATGCTTCTCTTCTGTTTCATATGTTGTCACTTGTCAGTCAAACACCTTGTTAATATGTGATGTACATTCGTGTTTTGAAAGTCTCTGGGCCTAGTGCCGCAATGAGTGAGATTTTCTGACTGCACATGCTTTATACCTTGGGTTGTCTATCCCGTATGTCGCGAAATACTTATATTGTATGTTTTGTTCTCTAATTTAGAATTCATTGACTTTGATATTGTTATGGGCCTTGATATTTAACTTCTGTACATTTTTTCCTTTTGAATTTTACAATTTTAAGGGTTTTTTCCCATCAGTCCATATTTTTATGTACTTCTTAGTGCCTTCTCCTATGAATAGGTAAAACTCCCACCTTTGAGACACTTATTTACGGCAATGTAAAGATTCCTTTAGGCTCAAGCTTATGACCTACTTTTTTTGTCAGGCATGCCATTGTTGGTTGAGTTTGCCATATTTCAAAATTTCACTCATGAGTGATTTGGTTTAATAAAATCTTTCTTTCTATCTTTTTAGTTTGTTTTGTTTTTCATTTTTTATTTTGTTTTTGTGGCTTAGTGTTCTACACTTTTTTGCTGAGGAGCTTAGTGTTCTAAAGTTCTACTTCCACAACTACATTTTGTGAATTAGCTGCTTTGGTTCTTCCCTTGCATCTGTTGGGAACATCTATTATCTTTTAGGGCTCGTTTGGTACGAGGGATAAGAGATAATTAATCCCGCGATTAAATTTGAGATGAGTTTATCCCACGTTTGGTTAGGATAAAATCGCGGTATAACTAATCCCGTGATCAGTTATCCTGGGATTGTAATGTTATTTTTATCTCTATGGGAGGATGGGATAACAATCACGGAATAACTAATCTTGGGATAATTAATCCTGGGACAACTTGTCTCCCAACCAAACGACCCTTTAGGGTATGGTGGATATCAAGGCATCTCTTATCAGTTTTGAATCTAGCTTTTCACTTTGTCTTCCTTTGTCTTCTGTACAATATGATTGAAATTTAAGGTCTGTGTGTCCTAGTTACTTTTGCTCTAGAAAACATCATGCTTCTGTTAATTTCTGTTTGCATAAATTTTATTAGCACAAACACCAATTGGAGATCCCATTATACATTGATGAGGCACATTGTTTCTAGCAAATCATCCATTCCTCTTAAAAATAGGTGATTTTCATCTTCCACAAGATTCAAGCAATATTTGACTATTTGCAGGTTGATAAGTTGAAACTCTTATCTGAATCTCTTGCTAGCTCCACCAACAAAGCTGAAACGGAGATCTCAGATCACAGGTTAAAACTCTTATTTCAATTTCTATGTCTCGGTGTTTTGGAAGTTGACAAAGCTGCAAATTGTTTGATTAGTCACTAACAAGGCCAAGACCTTGGCCTCATATATATTCCTTTTTTTAATCTTCATCCCTTCTGTATGTAGCATTATGTTAGTACCCTGCCTCTAGAAAGAATCTGCACTCTTTTTGCTTCAATTCTTGGCTTGAGCTAGTTCATTTGTTATCAGAACTTACTTCGAGATTTATGCTGTAATTGATCTCATTCTTTATTTCCATGTTGCACGTCTACTAAATTTCATACACCAAGAGATCATTTTGTGCAACTGAGATTCGGAAAATAGTACACAAGTTATCGAGAGGACTACCTCTGAGGGGATTGCGGATGAGACTTGGAAAATTCAGTGACATGTTAGGTTCATTGGATTAGAGATGAACTGAAGGGTTTTGTAACGTAATATGCCATAAGTTGCCAAAAAACTCAAATTAAATAAAATAATACTATGGGTCATGCCTGAGAGGATTAAGGATGTTCCTACATATGCTAGAGTTCTTGGAAAGTTGGTAGATCCGTCAGGAAAATCTGGAAAATGATTCCTTCCTGTATATTTTGGTGTGCCTGGACAGAAAGGAATCTAAGAGGTTTTGATGGAATATCAACTCCTAATCACATTCTCAAGACTAAGTGTCTTCTATAAACTCCCCTGACATTTTTTTGGACTTTGTTAGCTCCTTATCTTTAGCATAGGGCACATTGTAATGGGGCTAATAAACTCACTTTTGTTCTTATTATCTTTTGTACTATTTGCATCTACTTAATGTCATTGATGTCATACTAAAACTCAAATAAAGAAAAGGGTGATGCAGGGGGTATCCATCAACTGCATAGGAGGTGAATGCAAACTTATTTAATTGGTTACTTGATGCTTCAGTAAAGTTTAGATATTCTTTAAGCAAGAAAAGAGCATTTGTATTACTATATTCGGTGTATTGCTAGATAAAGCACAATGGCCTCATTTCTATGAAATTACTTGGGCTTTCTAGTTTGGGTGAGTTATACCAAGTTAGCATATTATAATCTTTTTGGATAATTTGGAACTGTTATGAAAAGCATATTCCATTTTCAAAACAACCTCAGAGGTTATTTCCAACATTTCTGGTAAAGCATGACCAATAACATCATATATTCTGGGGTAATATCTGGCTCTAGGTTAAAAACCATGTATTTTGCTTTCTCAGGTCGGAATTGAATTTAGGCTTTGATCATCCACTTCTGTGATTAGTTTTGTATGCATTCAAGAACTGGAAGCTCCTCACCTTAACAAGGCTTGAAAGAAAGTTATTGCTTTTTGAGAAGTTTCATATAATATCTTACTAGATTATTATGCCTCTTTCCCAAAAATATTTTGTTTTGCTCAGAGATGTTGAAATTATTATGTCAATGTACCGGTCCCTGTTGAGAATAGCATCGAAATTACTGGGGTTATCTTCCACCACAGAAGCTGGACCCTACCAATGTGTTGCATGGATTCTTAATCACAGACTGGTCAGGCTACCTGTACTTGACCTGATGAATTTAATTTGTTGGTGCCCATGCAAAAGATGCTAGAGAATTGAAATTATTTCTCCTTAATAATTAGGTTCTGATTTTCTTTAGAAAATTGCGAAGTGATTTGAGTGTCAAATCAAAGTATCTCAGTGAGTAAATTTTCTATTATGATCATGTGTGTTAAAGGGATTATGGGCATGAAATCTCTGATGATTTCATATAGAGTAACACCTTATTTCCTCCATCCAAAGATGACTTGTATTAAGTGTTTTATGCTGCTTCTTGGAAAAAATGTCAATATATATCTACATATCTAATTGTTTTATGGTCAATTCTTACTGTGGACAGAGTTCAGAAAGAGGAAGCACTAAAATTTCGTGTTGCCAAGACCGGTGAAGTTGGTGAAGTAGAGAAGGTAATGTGCTTATAGGACATTTCCTTGTTGTTGGAATGCTTCATATGTTCAAGTGTACTTACATTAAAAAAATAGGTTTCCCATACTACTCTTGGAATTTCCTGACGTGGCTGAAGGTTTTCAATATGTAGTCATAAGTTTCGAGAAGAGAATAAGAAGATGAATTACCCTGCGCAAAATAATAATATGAAATACCCTTTATACTATGTCTACTGAAGTTTCAGTCTTCCTTCATTATTTATTCTAATGTTTTCTGTGTATTTGCCGCATTAAACTTTACAAGTTAGTTAAAGCAGTTTGAGCTTTGCTTGGACTGAAAATTTTGAGGTTTTGGTTCCTTTGCTTGTTTTTCAGGAATTAGCAGCCGAGATTTCAGCTCTGGAGAAACAAAGGAACGAGATTGAAGCTCAATTGAAACAGGTAATCAGTTTTTCATGGAAGACACCATCTGTGCTTTGTTTTTAAATATTTTAATTATTTACCTATAAAAATAGAACAAATCCTCCCTCCTCCATACAGTAACATACATTTTGGAGTTAAGCTAAGTTATTTAACGTATGCGCTACCTTTGACAATCTCTTTTCATCATATCAACTGAAAGGTGTATGAAGTTTCATGCTTATTTGTATTTTAAAGGAGAATGCTAGACACTACATTTAATGTAGTTTGATGTAGGCCAGAGACAGACGGGTTTAATATGTTAGATGAAGACAAGTGCGCTCATCTATTAATTTCAGATAATATGATACTTTGTGCTCTCCCTAATACTGCAATAATTGTTTCATGTTGTGAAATTGAGCTAATCAAAGAAAAAGAAATTCCTAGAAATATGGGTGCATCATTTGTCTTGATGATGTGGGGTGGTACGATAGATAGGCAAGGTCTTGACAAGAAAAATTATCATCTGTGAAGGAAAGCTTCTAACCTATTGATGACATTAAAAAATTTCACCTTTCCGCTCCTATCTTCTTAACTGTTTCTGACATAGTAAGCTTTGGTTAGTTTAAGAAGAGTAACATACCTTCCACAAAAATATTTAGGTTACTGTATGTAAAAGATTTGATATTTAGACAAAAAGCTGACTCTGAAATTATGGTGGTAAATGCTCACTGTATGTAGGTTCTGGTGGAACATAGCCTAAATACCAATGTGACTGTGCTGTGGATAACTGCAATACATAGTTTATGAGGTTAAATAATGCATTCTTCAATCAACTTTAATATCTAACCACTTATGTGATTATTGAATTGCACCACCTGTGTCTCCACGCAAGTTTCCATTATATCTTTGATACCTCTTAAGTTGAGATAATGCAAAAGGTATTGATGTTCAATCTTCACTAACTGAAAAGAGCTTGACATTGCTTTAGTGTTTTTGCATTCAAATTGTTCTAATTTCCCATGTCCCAGTCCTGACTAAACTGGGTTGCTTTTAGGTCAATATCTCCTTGGCAGCAGCTAGTGCGCGCCTTCAGAATGTCCGAGAAGAGAGGGACCAATTCTATGACGCTAATGATGAGATTGTTGCTCATCTAAAAACTAGAGTATGTCTTTTTTTTCTTTTTAAAATCAATGCTTCTTTGCTTAGCTTCTACCTCCAGTTCTTAAGCTGTATCCACCAATATGGATCTCCAATTGTTTTCTTTTACATTTGGTCATGAGTTCTCTATATCATTGAAGGAAGACGAGCTATCAAAGTCCATTGGCTCATGTAGAGTGGAAGCAGATGTTCTTAGTTCGTGGATCAAGTTTTTGGAGGACGCTTGGGCTCTTCAGTCCTCTTTTACAGAGACCAAAGAGAAGGAGGCCAAGTATGTTACAGGATTTACCACATGATCATTCTTCCAAATTTCAGGAAAAAAAATGTTAGAAGTACTACACCTAATATTATTGTTTTTTAAACGGTTAACCCTTATCCTCATGGATATACTTGGAGCATGCTTTATTTTGTAATTGTTGCTGCCTTGCATTCCTGTAGCGTTGAATTGGAAAGGCATGAAGATTATTTTGTGAACTTGGTCTTGAAACTTCTCTCTGCTTACGAGGTACTTGCTTGAAAAATGATCGTAGTTGCTTTGTCTATCATGTCATTGGAATAACTCTTGGATATATGATGTGTTTGTTGCTTGTACAGAAAGAGTTGAGGCCTTCTGTTGATCGTATTAGAAAATATGTGGAGAACTTAAAGAGTTTAGGTGAAGGGTAAGGTCTTTCTTGGCATTCATAAGCCTGTACATTTTTGTGGTCACATTGTTGACGCTTATTTTGTTTTCATATAGCAGCTCAGCAGAAGAATCTGGTCTGGTTTCTGGGGAATCAAAAGCATTGATCCCTAGGAAAAATCTGGAGTTGGAGTACCTGGACTATGAAGCTAAGGTAAAAATTGACTACAGGAGACCAATCTGATGAATCTTTATGAAATTGGTATTCATTTCAATTCACAAGTTTCGAGCTGCCTCCACTCTTTCTGTCCAAGACCTAAATCTGGTGGAGGTCATTGGTGACTTGCAAGCCTTATCTGTTCCAACTTGCGCCTTGGTTTGTGATTAGTGTTGAAAATTATAAAGTGCTTTAATTGCCTAGTTAGGAGCAACAGCTAGAATTTGATTTCTATTTGATATTTTATGTTTGTGCACGCTGCACTTATTGGAGTAGCCAACATGGCACAATCCTTGTCTCTGAGACTTGAAGCTTGTTATCTTCACCTTCCCCTTGTTTGTGAGTTGGAAATCTTCTTTATCATTCCAAATCCCACATAACCCTTTATGCTTCTAAGTTTCCATATCCAAGCGTTTCACTTTGGAAAAACCAGCAAAGAGGCCATTTGTTTGTGTTGCTCTCCCCTTTTACTTTCTTCTATCTGCCTTGCAATATCAATGTAGATTCCCAAGGTAATATGTCTCATCTTATTGCAGATTATCACCACCTTCAGTGTAGTCGACAACATGATGGAACAGTTTTATGCTCAACAAGGGAAAGTGTCCAGGTTTGCTTCTGCTTGATAATTTAACTGTTTCACGTAGCTTTTGTTGGTTCAAACTCTATCCAGTGAGCTACTTGTTCTCTTTTCATTCAGGAAAGATGAGCCAACGATTAAAGAGCTGTTTGAGAACATTGAAAAGTTACGAGAAGAATTTGAGTCTATTGAGAGGCCAGAACTGGAAATGGAGGTCCCGGAGGTCCCTACCCAAGAGGACGCTTCATCCCATAAAATTCCTGATGAAAGTACACATACTGCAAAGAAGGCAACAGAAGCCCCTGCAACTGCAACTTCTACCAAACCGGAGCAGGTATCTGATGCCCCATCCTATAAAATGCTAGATGAAAGTGTATCAATTCCTGCGAGGGAGGCAACAGAAGCCCCTGCAGCTGGGGAAAAGGAGGAAAAGAAACCAGCTGCTACTAAAGCCGTGCAGGTGTCTGAAGCAGAGTTGGCAAAATTGGAATCTGAATCTGAAAACATTAACCAGGATTACTCAGCAGAAGAGATTGGTGGCTGGGAATTTGATGAGCTGGAAAAAGAGTTAAATCTTGGGGACTCGGGCAAACCTCAGAAAGATAGAAACACCTAAACACAAAACACAGAAATCTTTGATCCATATCGAATAATGAATGGACAGTCATGTATGTACACCAGGATAAGAAACTTCCAGACCGAACCTCCTAACTTGAGCAGACTTTTCCTTACAAGTTGTATCTTTGGATGTAGTTCCATGTATTTATTATTTGTGTAAATTTGCGAAGTTGTGAAAGAACTGCATTGTATCAGAACCATTTAGGAACTTTGTTAGGATTATAACAGTCAAATGTATCTTCATAATGCAACATTCATGAGTCTGTGAAGATCAGGTATACTTAGCCAAGTCCACTTCTAATGCCAAAATACAAAGAAATTTTGGATGCAATATCCGTTGATGAATTATGTTGAGACAATCTTTTTATGGCTATTCTTACTTCTAACGACCGCATATCGATTGTCTTTTTCCTCTCCTAGATGAAGTAGCAGGCATCGGTCCGTTGAATCTATTACCACGAGTTTGGTATGCAATTGCTTTGTCATTAGGTGGTTTTGTATTTTTAAGACTGGTCAATGGTGGGATCTTAAAATCGGGGAAGAAAAATGTCTATAAAATTAGAGAGCATTTTTTTCTTTAGACAAAGTTGAAAATATAACTTTCGCCCTATAAAAATTAACTCTTTTTTTTCTCCTTTTTATGTTTTGTGGTTTTGTAGAGTTCATTACAAAAGTATTTTGTTATATTATCCTTTTCACTTGAAATCAATTAAAACTAATATAGAAGATCTGTAAATAAAACAAAGGAGATTATTTTAGGGTCATTTTCTTCTATTCAAATATATAATAAGTGAAATCATCTATTATATGGTCGTTCTATATGCATAGGTGAGGAGCCGTTAGCTAGGCGAGGAGCAGCGGCGTACCCAAGTTGATAACCCGTTTGGCCAAACTGTAAAAATCAGTTTATTTTGGGAAGTGCTTTTTTTTCAAAAGTGTTTTTCTCAAAAGATTTTTGGTGAGAAGCAGTTTGTGTTTGGCTAATTAGTTTGAAAAGTACTTCTGAGCAGCAATTAGTGTTTGGTCAAACTTTAAAAAACTGCTTGTAAGTGTATTTTTCTCACAAGTGCTTCTCAAAAAAGTGCTTTTAAAGAGAAGCTACTTTTTTCTGCTTCTCCAAAACTACTTCTGCTTCTCCTCAAAAATACTTTTTTTCTTTCAAAAGCTTGGCCAAACACCTCAATTTTTGGCCAAAAGTGCTTTTGGGGGGGGAAAAAGCATTTTTGGCCAAAAAGAAGCTTGGTCAAACAGGCTATGAGTCCAAGTCGAGGGATATGAGTTTACGTGAATCCATACTCTTCTCCCTAAACCGTGTATAACAATGTTATATTTTTTTCAAAATTACTTAAATATATTATGTGTAACCCATGCTCAAAAACTATTATGGTGTAATTATTATTGGGTGCACCTCTATAAGTGAAATTGACAATTCAAATCCCACTCTGAACTGTCTTGTTTTCGGCATGTAGTATAGATATGTATGTGAAAATTACTAAAATTTTAAAAAGAAAATAGTTTTGAACCTATAATTTCAAAAGTGTAGTAAATTTATGGTAAGAGACTAGCGTTAAACCCGTCAAATATAAATTCTAGATCCACCTCTTCACAATAGTGCACTCATCCTCTTGAAGTCCCGGATCCGCCTCTGGTGAGGAGACAATGCAGTTGGAGAAGTGGTAACTGATGTGAGCATTTCCCCCAAAGAAAAAAAAAACCATAAATAGAATTTAAGCAGCCACCAGAATCCATTAATAGTAGGAAACACAACTATTACTCCATATAAGTGTGTGGCCTTTTTATAAAGCTAAATACTGTGTTTGTTATGGTAAATCGGACACGTACACGAGGCCATAGCAGAAGTATTCGAAACAGCTTAAATTTGGTTAACTGACTTAGTAACAATTGTGACAGAATCATCAAGAAGTTCAAATTGCCAGGGATAAGTTGTTTAGCTAGTTGAGGAGACAATGCAGTTGGACAAGTGGTAACTGATGGGGGCCTTTCCCCAAAGATAAGAAAACCATAAATAGAATTTAAACAGCCATCAGAATCAGAATCCATTAAAAGTAGGAAACACATCAGCTTCTACTATTATTCCTTATAGTGTGTAACCTTTTTATAAAAGCTAAATACTGGGGGAAAAATGAAAAATAGTCAGATTTACAACTGGTAATTGAAAAATAGTCACAGTTTTAAAAGTAATTAAAATTTAGCCTTTCTTTATATAGAGATAAAATCTTAACAAAAACACCCTTAAAAATTCGGAAATATTCCAGCATATTATGCTAAAGTTCGAATTTCTTATATATGAGCTCCCAGCATAATGTGCTGGAGTTCCAACATAATATGCGGGAAATTTATATGCAGGAGTTTCATAATCCCGCATATTATGCTGGAACTTTCCGTGTGCTGGAGTTTCAACATAATATGCTGGAAGTTTATACACATGAGCTTCATAATCCCGCAATATGCTGGAACTTCCCGTGTTTCAGCAAAACAGTGACTATTTTTCAATGAATTTGCAAATGCTAGCTATTTTTCGATTACCGGTCCGAAAGCTAGCTAGCCCGGACTATTTGTTGTGGTACATCGAACACGTACACGAGGCCATAGCAGTAATATTTGAAACAGCTTAAATTTCAAATTTGGTTAAATGACTTAGTAACAATTGTTACAGAACCATCAAGAAGTTCAATCTGCACCTATACCTCTACCACGCTTAAATAACGTAATGAAGATAACATTAATGAGTTAGTTAAGTTTCAACTAGGAAATTAAGTATACAGATGAGCTAATTATGTCATTGTCGTAGGCTAGACTTAATTCCCTGTAAGGAAAAAAGGCAATGTGTTGGGTGGGGGTCTAGCAATATTTTGATGTATTAATTAATATGTTCTAAATGTATTCTGTTCAGCCACCTTGAATTGTTAAAGAGACTTTTAATACGTAGGTCCAGAAAGTACATAACTCCACGAGTAACAGTGTTCTAAATGAGCCTTAACCAAAAACAGTAGAATTGTTATTCGATCTTAGTATATCTTTATTTAATAAAATAACCAAAGATTCGGGTACGGGGTTCTAATTTTCGACCTTAATTTGGACATGAATCTTTTGATATTGTTAAAATAAAATTTACATAATATTTAGCACGAAAAATATTTATAAGTAATCGGGGAAGGATTTATGTGGAGGCGGGAGGGGTACATGCACACATGCTCTCCCCCTAGGCTATGCATAGAGTACTAATTTTTCAGTTATATATTTAAATATACTTGTAGCTGCCCATGCTCAAGTTATTATTCTAGTGCATTAATGACTAAATGTCCCTTTTGTCCCTCGGGTAAGGGGTCCGATATCCATATAGATCTTTTTAATTAATTTTTTTATAATTAATAAATAAATAAATTCCTAATTCCCTTGCCCTTTTGAATTAACGTAATGGTGTAGTCATGTTTTTAAAATCTTAGATACGCCTCTGTAAGTAACCTTTCATAAAAAGTGAGATTTGTACTCTTGAAAATATGGCATATTATCTGATACAATAGGCAAATATGATGTGATCACGTAAAAATCATTTACATTATTGATGTATATAGATTAACAAAAGTATACACATTTTTATGACCAAGGAACAAGACCCTTTTATATCCTGAGAAAAATTATATCTATCGAAAATTCTTGAATGTATTATTGTCGTTGTTGTCCCATTTTTTCGAATTTAACTTATATACACTACCCGCGTAAAAATTCTTTTTACACTAAGAGTGAAATCTTGCTCATCTTTAAAATGTCCCCCTTCTCTTTCATTTGCCTCTTAAACTCAATACACTTTCTAATTCACACACACACATAGTGAGAGTGAGAGTGAGAGAAAGAGTGATTTTACAATGGAAGATGCACAAAATAATGCAGAAGAAGATTACATAGAATTGGAGGTAATTAACTCATCAAATTCCACCATTTCTTTGTTCCATTTCAAAACCAACTCTCCACCACAAGCACCAAGATCATCAGAATTTGAATTCCAAATGTTGTCTAGTAATTTTATTGATAGTAAAGACACTAATACATCAATATCTACAGCTGATGAACTCTTTTACAATGGCAAACTCCTCCCACTTCACCTCCCTTTTCGTTTACAAATGCTTGAGAATATCCTTCACAATTCAACAATAACAACATACCCAATCTATTCCCACAGGTGGGATTTGGGGAGGGTAGCGAATACGCAAACCTTACCCCTATCTTATGCAGGTAGAGAGGATGTTTCTGAAAGACCCTCAGCTCGTGTAAGCAATATCCTTCGCAATTCAAGCAAAAACAAATCTCTTCATATTAGCAAAAGTTTTGATGATCTTGAACAATCTTTTAACACCCCATTTTTCCAATCTTGTAATGTTAGTTGTGAACTCAATAATCCACAAGATTACTTGTTTGGCTACTCAACAGATGATGAAATTATTTCAAGAAAATCAAAGTGGACTTCAAGAAAGCTTAGGCTTATCAAGAACCTCTCATTTGATTCAAAAATTAAGTCTTCAAAAGGTTATCTCAAGTGTTTGATTAATAATAGTGTTAAATTAGTAGCCAAGAATGAAATATTTGGGAAAATTATTCATAATAAAGGTGCATATAATCAAAGAAAGTCATCATTCTCAGGAGCTATTAAAAGGTTCTTGACATCTAAATCTTCTTCTTCTTCTTCTTGTGGCTCCTCAAATAACTCAAATGGGATTAATCAAGATGTGCATAATTTGTTAATGAGGAGGAGAAATGTGTATTATTCCGAGGTTGAAGATGAGAATCCAATTCAGGCTGCAATTGCTCACTGTAAAAATTCTCAACAACAGAAGTTCCATTCAAGAAAGAGTAATGGAAGTGAGCTTGGACTTGGCAGCTCAGTGTCAGCTTCCAAGTTGATCTTTCAAGAACAAGAAAGATCAGGACTTTGCAGGGGTTAGAAACCTTTCTTTTCATTTTCTTTTTTAAATTTGGATTTTTTTGGGGGAGATAATTTCGACGATTAGAAAAGTCTTTCTTTGGTTCCAGCCCCCCATTACACCAAAGCATGCCAATCAATACTATACCATAGCGCTTATATCTGTGAGTTGGGAAAATAATATCGTATATTTTTTATGGGGGAGGAGAGGGGGGGGGGGGGACAAATTAAATTTTTTATAGTTGCCTCATGTTGTGTTTTTGACCTGAGATGAATTTAAACGAGGAACATAACTAATGAGCAATTGGGTTTGAGATGTAATAATTGTTATAGTCTAACTTGTCGTCTTATGGTATATTTCTGTGAGAATAGTTAACTGTGTTTAGGAGACGGTTAGCCAGCTGTCACTATTAGTTACATTTGTCAGAATTAGTTGCACCTAATTGGGGTCACTTAGCTTAATTAAGTGATGATTAGGAATGTGCCTATATATATTCTTGTACTGGTATGTATTCAATACATTTTTTCAGAATAATAGAAATAATTTCTCTTCTTCCCTTCTTCTCTCTGTCGCTAATTAGCTCAGTTGGAGCTTTACTCACAATTTCTTCTCCTTTATAAATTTGTATATTATATTGAGCACTCATATAAATCCATAATATGCATGGCAAAGGCATATTGTAGTTTCCAAGCACATTAATCCTACCTTTGAAATATCAAAAGAAAAATAAACGAGGGTTTGTCTTTAGGAAAAATACATAAATATCCCTTCAACTTGACCTGAAGTTTCAACTATATGTTTAAAGGCGATTTGTACTCTGTCGTCCGAATTCATGAAGATGACGTGAACATTAACACATGAAAATTTAAAAATCGTCCTGAATTCTTATTTTATGGCCCTAAAACACCAAAATATGAGGAACGATCATGGCGAAGCAATGACTATTATTCATTAGGTCACGACCTAATGGGCCCATAAACTTTTAGGTGATTTGGAGCTCGTTGCCCGAATTCATGAAAATGGCATGGATATTAGCAAATGAAAATTGAAAATCGTCCTGAATTCATGTTTTATGGCCCTAAAACAGCAAAAGCAAGGAACAACCATCGCGAAACAATGACTATTGTTCATTAAGTCATTTTCGATAAGCCCACAAAATTTTAGGCGATTCAGAGCCCGTTGCCCAAATTCATGAAGATGGCATAGACATTAGCACCAGAAAAATTAGAAATTATCTTGAATTCCTACTATATAGCCTTAAAATGCCAAAAAACTAGGAACAGACATGGCGAAGTAATGAATATTATTTATTAGGCCAATTCCGATGTACTCACAAAATTTAAGGCGATTCAAAGCCCGATGCGCGAATTCATAAGATGGTGTGGACATTAACACACGAAAAATTTGAAATCATCATGAATTCTTATTGTATGACCCTAAAATACCAAAAAAGAGGAAGGATCGTGGTGAAGAAATGACTATTGTTCATTAGGTCATTTCTAATAGACCCAAGAAATTACAGGCGATTCAGAGTCTGTCGCCCAAATTCATGAACATGACGTGGACAAAATGCACACGAAAAATTGAAAATCATCCTAAATTCCTAATTTATGACCCTAAAGTACCAAAAATAAGGAACGATCAAGGTGAAACGATGATTATTGTTCATTAGGTCATTTTTTATGAGCCCATAAAATTTTAGGCGATTCGGAGCCGCCGAATTCACGAAGATAATGTGTACAATTGCATATGAAAAATTAGAAATCGTCCTGAATTCCTATTTTATGGTCCTAAAATACTAAAAATGAGGAAAGATCGTGGTGAATAAATGATTATTGTTCATTACGTCATTTCTGATAGGCCCACAAAATCTTAGACGATTCTAAGCCTGTCGCCTGTCGCCCGAATTCATGAAGATGATGTTGACATTAGCACACGAAAAATAGGAAGTCGTCCAGAATTCCTGTTTATGACCCTTAAATTCCCAAAAAAAGAGGAACTGCTATGGCAAAGTAATTACTATTGTTCATTAGGTCGATTCTGATGGGTCCACAAACTCTTGGATGATTCGAAACCCATCGCCTGAATTCATAAAGATGGCATGGACTATAGCACATGAAAATGACCTGATGAACAATAGGTCATTTCTAATGTCATCTTCATTAATTCGGGTATCTGGCTTCGGACAGCCTAAAATTTTGTGGGATCATAAAAATGATCCGATAAATAATAGTCATCGCTTCACCATGACCATTCTTCATTTTTTGTCATTTTAGGGCCAAAAAAAGGAATTTAGGACAATTTCTAGATTTTCGTGTGCTATAGTCCACGCCATCTGCATGCATCCGGTAGACCGGACCCAAATCGCCTAAAATTTTGTCGGCACATAAAAATGATATATGGAACTATACCGTGGCTCTGATACCATGGTATAAAGAACAGAGCAAGAGACTCCAAGTATGCAAATTAAATCATAGATATGAAAGTTTTCCTACGAAAAGGGTTGGCTTCAATAACTCATAAGGGATGACTTGCCAAGCTACACAAACAGTTAATTTGCTTATAGTCACAAATGATTTCCTACAAAGGAGCTGGCTTCAACAGCCCATAAGGGACGGCTTGCCAAGATACACAACTCAAAAAACTTTTGTACTATAATCAACATTAGCTGTTTATACCTCAGAAAACTTTCGTACTACAATAAGCTAATTTTCAAAGAGTATTCTTACTCTATTTTCATACATGGACCGGCCTTTCCATCCATTCGAAAGAAAGAACAAGAGAAAAATTTAGAAAGAACCCATATGTAATATATCACAAAGGATTTACAAAGGTTACCAAATGATCTTACAACTACTACATGGCCTCCTTTACAGAGGACTAGGAGGTTATTACAATACAAACCTATATTATAAAATAAACCTATCTTACATGGCAAACGTATCTACAAGTGGGTCCCTTTGGCATGTGAAGGACCTTAGGCAAAGCAACTAAAAAGCTCCTCAAAATAAGTGAAAGAGGTGAAATATACATGGTGTAGCATGTGAAAGTATGCGGGAGCATGTGATGGCATGTGAAAGTAGGGTGTTGCATGTGACTAAGCATGTGAAAGCATGTGAAAGTGGGGTCCGGATAGTATAGAAAGATGTAAAAATTTATCTTGGTATGGGTAGATGATTTTTTAGGGTTTTTTGGTAGGTAATGTAGGATTATGGTGGGATTAGCAGAGACTTAGATAATTATCTTCCATTAATTTTTTGGGTTTGTCTTCTAGGCATCTTTTCAAAGACCTTCTGTAGTAACGCCTGGAACTTGATGGTCCTTCTTCACTGCGTTCCTTCTCCTTTGGATTGAGATGTCATCCGCAAACCTTAATCTGGAAATGTCGTGAGTGATCTTTTATCGGATGACCTCGTATGGGGTTTGATATTCCTTTACTACTTCCCGGACCCTTTCCCAGAGCGGATGAGTGCTGGTATAATTAGCTTGCCCAATCTTTTGGTCATATCTCTCTCGGGATGCACCTGTTTTGTTTGAAAAGAATTCTTTATGCCTCGCTATATTCTTCTTCCATGGATAAAATGGACACAGAAAATTTCCACCAGAACGATGCCTCTGCTTGCGCATGGACTTTTCCATTAATAATCTTCACTGACCTATAGCACATAAATAACTTTGTTGTGTAGGAATTGTTGAAACATTTTATCCAATATCTTCTGGGCTTGAACCATAGTAAAAATACTTTAAGAGATGGTTCAATGTTATCAAAATCTTTGAAGATGTTGCATTTGAATTCCATGAAAATATAATATTGATGTCATAGGTACCAGAAAAATCATAATAGTTCTTGGGGAAAATCCTTGGCTTGTGCTATGAATATACGGTAGAATGGATATTCTGGGTTGACTCCATAAGGCTTAAGAATGGATCCTCCATATTGTTGGAAAACTTGGAGCTCATAATAAGTTCTTCTTTCTATTAAAATTGATAGATCAAAGGGATCCATAAGGTTGAATAACTCCGGTGGATGATCCATTAGTTTTAATGAACTTGTTCCTGGTACATTTGAAAATATGAAGATGTGGCTGATCAACTTTTGCTTTGACATCATCTTTGCTAGGGAAAATCTCTTTGAGAATTCTTCCGGTCGAGATAGAAAATTTGCGAGAATATTATCTTTTCCTTTCAGGTGCTTGATTTGAAACTTGTATGGAGAGAACCATTGAGCCCATCTGAGAATTTGAGAATTGGGAATAATTTTTGCATTTATCTGGATAATCTTTGGGAAGGCCTTCATATCCATCTCTATCAGAAATTCTGTATGAATCAGGAAAAAATTGAATTTCTTGATTATATTCTTTACTGCAAAAATTTCCTTGAAAGTGGAGTGATAATGTTGCTCGGCATCTTTGAACTTTCCGCTGGCATATCCGCATATTTTCCTCTGTCCATCTTTTTCTTCAAATAGAATGGCACTCCAATATTCATTGCTGGCATCAGTTTGTAGTATCTTCTTGCCTTCTAAAGGGATGTAGAGGGACTTAACATTTTTAGATATCTCCTTTATTTCCCTGACTACTTCATCTTGTTTCTTTCCCCATGATGGAGCATTTTTCTTGAGCATCTCTGTGAGCGGAGAAATGTATGTAGAGATATTTGGGATGAAATCTCTTACATATTTTACTACACCCAAGAATTGTTGGATTTGCTTTGTTGTGGGGCTGGTATCTGGAAATTTGAGTAGTTCCTGATATATATGGGGTCCTGGACTGTATGCACCTTGGACAAAATGCATTCCGAGAAAATCAATCTCTTTTTGAGCAAGAACCATCTTTTTTGCTAAAAGCATGATTCTGTACTGTGTACAATGCCTCAAATTGACAAAGCAAGTTGACATGTTCTTCCAATGTATCATTAAATAACAGGATGTTGTCAATTTAAACTAAATAGGTATGGAGGATGGGCTGGAATATTTTTATCATGGCCTTTTGGAATAAGGAGGGTGCAATTAAATATTTTTA